TATCTACTCAAAAATCTCCACTTGAAGTTAATGGGAGCTAATGCTTTGGGTTTCTTTGGTAACTCCTTGGCTGCTAACATTGCTAGTGCACGAAGAGGCAGAGGCAGGAATCGCGTGTCTGCTGGACTACAATATGCTTCATAGCTATGCTATTATTCTCATTGACTTCAGTTCCCTCCTGTTTTAGCGTTGTTAGTTCTGCTGTATACCATTCTTCGAAAAAGAGATGCTAGAAGGTCTGCATGCCTTTGCTACTTAGTTACCCCTCTTTGTATATAATTTAGCCTGGGGGTTATTCACTGACCTGGGGGAAATCAATTTTTTGGAGTTTGACCAAGATAGCCCAGTTAGTTTTTGGTTGCTTAGCACTTGAACCAGGGCATTGATTAGCTTAGTTTGGACGAAGCATCACAAAGAATCCAAGGAGCAGTTCTGCATGGAATCTTGGTAATGTCATGTATTCCAGCTCTGTGCTCATTGATTCCATTCTTGAATTCTTGTATTTTTGGGATTTTCCTGCTCCTCCAATGCAACTGGTATGTGTACACTAGAAATTTTTGTTTCTTGCTCTGTAATAGCATTTTTTTTTTCCTTCAAAAGAACATGACTTTTACTGTAGTTAAGTGATGAGGAACAAAATGTACTAAAACTTGCAAGCAGTAGCTTAAGCTGAATAGATCTATAGCTCACTTCTTTTGGAGCATCCCAACGTCAATAGCATTTTATTTTTCACAAGAAAATGATATCTACCTTTTAGGATGGTAAATTCTACTGTGCTTCTGCTTTGAAGCTAGTCATCTTGTTAACTAAAGGGTTTAGCCTGTGTGGCTAGCCCTTTGGCCGCCAAGTCTCTCCTAAGGGGAGGTCTTGGGTTCCACTCTTAGGAGTGGAACAGGGGGAAGACTTGGTTCTTGCAAGGAAAGGGTGAGCATTCAACTCTCCTAAGGTGCTAATCCAATAACTAACTACTACTTTCACTGATCTAGAAAAAAGAAGAAGCTAGTCATCGAGTTCTTAGTTGCATGAAGTGGGGGTGAGGGCAGGGCATAGTTTAAGATTGAGAGTGTCTGTGGGAGGGCTTATCTATTTTATAAATATATTGTGATAAATATTTTTGTTGTTGTAATATATTTGCTAAATATCGATATTACACTACCACTTAACTGTTAAATATAAGCATAGGAAATTCTCATTACGAAAGTTACAATTCATCACCAATAACATAAGTCTATTGCTCCGTCCTCATTGAACCCAATTTGAAAGATCTATGAAAAAATCTTCATCCTTTAATTTCTCAGGGAAAAGCCAAAATCTAGGATAAATAGATGTTCTTTACATATTTATGTGTGTATATATATATATATATGGAGCATAAATAGAACAAAAAAGCCAAAGTTAAAATTTTACATAGAGCACCCTATGGGCTTTACACAATCTTGTTGAGGGTTATTTTGAGTCTTATTGATTTTTTTTAAAATTATTTTTAATTTTAGTGGGTTGCAAATTGGATTTTATTTGTTCTATCAATTTTTATTAGTTAGGGTATTTTGGTAATTTTACAATTTGCTATCCATGGTTGTAGGGATTGCCAATGGTGGTAATTTGGGTCAAGTTATGATTTTTTATCTTTCAAATGGTTTTTAGTAGATTTAAAATATTCTAATAAATAAGTTTGCTAGTGTCATAGTTTAAGTCAAAATTCTCATGGAAATAAAAGAACTATAGTAGTCTGTAAATACCCATGTAATTATACTATATAATGGAGTTAGGTTTATAAGAATTTGAGATTTATGTTTATGCAAATTCGTCTAACCTTTGCGAGAGTGAAACACTTCATTCACTCTCTTCTTATTTTCTCTCTTCTTTGCACACATTCAAGTTATTTTTCACTTCTATAGGACAACCCATTTTTAGTCCCAAAATCCTAGTCAATCCCTTAAATCATACTTAATCCACTCCTTATGCATTAGCTCTTGATGTAACGTCTAAAATTCAAATTTGGCCACTACTTAAGTGTCACGACCCAAACCCCCCATAGGTTTCGCGCTGTAATCAGTCAGTAATCCTGAGATTACCAAAGGCCTCTGAACATATTAACATGTATTAAGGGGTTGCGAAAACAAATATACAATATAAAACGTTTATTGAGCTGTGTAGACAAACATGGGACAAGTAATTTAAATTTTTATATATATACACGTGACGTCATAATGTAACAATCTTATGTCACCCGTCGATATAGATAAGACAAAAGTGAGACTTAGCCCATTATACAAAAAGTCAGAAATTGTATGAGAGCCACGAAAAGAAAACAAAACAAGAGTTAAAAACACATTGTTTCCAAAACATGACCACGTGACTTGACTTAATCCAGAACTCCCTCAAGAGGCACAAAAGGGTGGTTAACAAAACAAAACTCTCCAGGCAGCAGTTTAGATCTGGTCATGCGCCAGCTCACCTACATACATAATAAAAAATAGTGAGCGGAAACCCAGTGAATAATAACAGAGTAAATGTTTTACTGAATGATGTTCATACAGAAACAGAGTCTTGTACATAATCAGATGTCAAAGCAGAAACAGATTCATATACATAATCATATTCGTATTCAAAGTTCATACATTTCACATGATAGTATGTGGTATATCCATTAACGTTATCAAATTCGATGACCCATGAAGGGACGGTTGTGAAGGCATTTCGATAACCCATAAAGGGACAGCCATAAAGCATTCCGATGATTCATGTGCATAGAGACGTTTCCGATGACCCATAAAAGGACGACCATAAAGACATTCTGATGACGCATATCATATGATGCTAAGGATGCACAAATACACTTCAAGAACTTAGACAATCATTTATTCATACAAGATATAGCATTTCAAAAAACTGATAATTTCATATCATCAGAAAATAATTAATGTTAAACATAACTTTACGGAGTTATTACTTTTAGATGGCTCTGATAGCAAAATAGAGAAACGGGTGATTCGGATAGTCTATGGCCCGTGACCTACACAAACACATAGCAGATACACATTGAAACACATGCTCAGAATATACTTAACTCATTACGTTTTGTTCTTAGTGTGTTTCTAAGTTTTATCCTCATTATTATGTCTTAACTAAGGCTTAATAATGCCTAGGATGCACCGAGGATGGCAAAATATGTTTCAAAACACTAGGTCAAATGTGCTGAAAACAGGGTCCTTGTTTGAGCGTAACTTCCTTCGCTCAAGCGGAGGCTCAAAATAAACGTGGTCGCTCGAGCGCAACTTCGGTCGCTCGAGTGGTTTGTAAACTCTGCAAAAGTACTGTTTGTGTGAATTCTCTGCTCGACGGTCGCTCGAGCGTAAGACTGAGGTCCTCGTTCAAGCGCAACTCTTGTTGCTCGAGCGGTCTGCAAAAGTGGTAAACTTTTGGGAGCATGCAATTTACGCTCAAGCCAACTCTTGGTTGCTTAAGCGGAAGTGCAAGATACAGAGTGATCGCTCGAGGATGCGATCAAGCATAGGATCTGTCGCTTGAGCGATGAGGCCGAAATCTAGAATTTCCAGACGGATCTTCTTAAGTCCAAAACTCAAATTCAAAGCTGTTACACGCCCCTTTTGGGCCCAAAACTTGAGAAAATATATATAAAATCATAGAACTTAATGAATTAAAAGTTGTTTCGCAAAAATCAAGGCCTAAAGAGCAAGTCAAATGTTGAAATCAAACTTGAAACTCAATGTTTAACACATGCATGATAAAACATGATTTCTTTCCTCCTAAAACATGATCAATTAAGGTAAAAGGATGTAGAGTTTGATGAATTCCCCAAACAAGGTTAGAACAATGGCATGCATGAGAGAATTTCTTAGAAATCAAACTCTAACATATGAGAAATGAGCATGTATGCATGGTTTAGCCTCTAATTCACCTCTCAAAGCTTAATTCTTAACCAATTCCTCTTGAATTCATGTGGTATGTCTTAATTACACAAGTAAAGGATTCTTAACCAATTCCTCTTGAATTCATGTGGTATGTCTTAATTACACAAGTAAAGGCTTGAATCCTTACCTAAACTCTTTAATTAGGCTCTAGATTACTAAATCTTTAAGCTTCTAAGCCAACTCCTTTCAATTTCCTTGCAATTCACCTTTTTCAAGCTTTGATTCTCTCCCTCTCTCTCTCTCTCTCTCTCTCTCTCTCTCTCTCTTTCTCTCTCTCTCTCTCTCTCACACACACACACGCACACACACACACGTTTTAGGGACTCAAGGATGATGACATGAAAGTGCAAAAATGTATTCTAGAGATTGTATTAGCCTTATATAGGCTCCATTAGTGGCTCTAATTAATTGGAGTTAAAGATAACTAAGTGTGATCATTTATTCTAATTTATTCGTTCCGAATCGAATTTTAATGAAACCTACCATAAAATTCTAAAAATCTCAAATAACATAGAGATCAAATCAATTTCGTGATCGGATGTCGATAAGGCCTTTAATTCGCAGAACAAAACAGAAACACATGCAATTAATTCAGAATTTCATCTTAATTCCTCATTAGACATAATTAATCATGGTTTATTAGCTAATTATAGGTCGGGGTTGTAGTCTTCCCCCGTTAAAGAGTTTGGTCCTCCAAACTCGAATTACTTTCATTTTGGAAGAACATCGGGTCCAAAGGAAAGAAATCAGGGCATCTTCTCATCATATCTTTCTCTGTCTCCCGAGTTGCATAGGTCCCTCCGTGATTTTGTCAATCAATTTTTACCAAAGGTATTTCTTTGTTCCTCAATCTTTTGATTTGGCGGTTCACAATCTAAATTGGCCTCTCTTTGTACGTATAGTTATCTTTCAAGAGCACATGAGTTGGTTCAATCACGTGGAACGAATCTCTCAAATATTCTTGCAGCATTGAGACATGAAAAATATTATGCATATGTTCCATGATCGGCGGTAGGGCTACCTGATACGTCACCGTGTTGATTTTCTCTAAAATCTCGTATGGCCCAACATATCTCAGTGCTAACTTGCCCTTTACACCAAATCGAGTTTGCCCTTTCATAAGAGTTTACTTTAATAAACACATGATCCCCAACGTTATATTCCCTGTCTTTTTTTCGGACATTCGCATAACTCTTTTGGCGACTTTGTGCAGTTTTCAATCGTGGTTGAATCAATTTTATGTTTTAGTGGTTTCTTGCACAAGTTCTGGTTCTAACAAAAGTCTATCGCTTACTTCGGCTCAAGAAATCGGAGATTGGCATTTCCTACCATACAATGCTTCATAAGGAGCCATACCGATACTTGAATGATAACTGTTGTTGTACATAAACTCAGCTAGAGGTAGATAAGTCTCCCAAGTCCCTTGGAAATCTAATACACACATTTTGAGCATATCTTCCAAGGTTTGAATGGTTCGTTCTGATTGGTCATCTGTCTGTGGGTGATAAGCACTGCTCAGTCTTAACTTAGTTCCCAAAGCTTACTGTAGACTCTGCTAGAATCTTGAAGTGAACTTAGGATCTCTGTTGGACACAATAGATACTGGCATACCGTGTAATCTTACTATCTCATTTACATAGATGTTAGCCAATTTATCCGCATTATACAAAGATTTGACAGGCAAAAAGTGGGCAGATTTAGTTAAACGATCTAC